ATAACAATTTTAATAATCACAAGTTTATTACGGTAATTATTTTGTATTTATATCTCATTGTGGCGTACATTAAGTCGCTCTTTTAAGTATTTTTAAATAAACATTACGTAACTTTGTTTGTATTTTCTCAGTGTCTAAAAAAACCGAAGAACCATAAACTTTTTGTTTCCACAATTATCATTCATCTGATTCATATACATTTGCGTGACTGTCGCTATACCAGAAATAATATCAAAATGCATTATAAAATATGTTGCTGTGCGTGATATTAAGTATTCCTATTTTATGGCGCAATGAGCAGCAGAGATAAAAGTAAAAAGTGCACGTCACTCAATTTTTTTTAAGCTTTTGTGCGATATAATAAAAATTTGTTAGTTTTTTACTACGACATGTTGTTTTTTCGGTCGGCAAAATGGCGTTTTAGTTCGTTCTGCGTTATTTTATAACTCGGGGAAATTATGTACTTTTTTGCGGTTGTAAATCAAAAATCCCCATTTGACGGTACAAAGAACTCACGAAACAATGATTTATTTATCGTATTTTCTGGTCTGGTATAAAGCTCGTCATATTTTGGAAGCTTTTAGCAAGCCAAATACGTACAGAATCCGTAACATGTTAAATTTTAAGGATTATATTATCTATGAATGAAAGAAAGTGTAATAGGTAAATACCTGATCAAAAACTATTTTTAGCCTGGTATTACGTTTATAGTGGATGACAAAATTATGAGGGACAGTAAGATAGTTTAACTGCATTTTTTAAGCAAGTGGTTGGCTTTAAGACTTGCAGCTATTTTTTGTATAAAAGAGTGTGGTACTAAGGTCACACAACAATGGGTTCTGTTAGTAAAGCCATTGATTTTTTTCGCAAAATAAATTGTTACATAAATGCTCTAATTTCAATATTTTGAGTGCCACCATTTGCTGCAATTATAGCTTCTACGCGTTGGGGCATGCTCTGAATACAAACTTCTGCATTGTGGTTTAATTTTGGGTTACGATGCAATTCTTTAATAAGAGCTTCAATCAACTGCTGCTTCGTTGTAACATCTTTGGCGATCTCTTGTTTGGTAAACTCCCACATACTCTCTATGGGGTTCATGTCAGGTGAGTTTTCCGGCCAGGGCGACACTGCAATATTTTCTTTGGGAAGAAATGCAGTAACACTTCTAGCTTTGTGGCACGTCGCAGAATTGTGCACAAAAATGTAACTTCTTTGACCAGGGAACCATTCTTTCAGCTGTGGAAGTAGCTGAGTTTCAAGTATTCGCTTATACAGGTCCTGTCTCTTCCACGATATATAAGCATCCCATACCCTTGGCGAGATTACAGACCCTACCATGACACTAACCGGATGTTTAACACTCTCCACAATGCAATCTGGATGAAACTGCTCTCCAGGACGTCGTCGGACGAACGCACTTTTGTCCACCAAAATCTGGAATATTGTACAAGTTGTCACAAATCTTCAGGTAAGATTTTCAGTCACTTCTAAATTTTCAGTTAGACACTAAAATAGTGTACCATTATAATTGCAGAGTTCTGTTTCACTTAAATTAAATCTATGAAGATAGAAGTTCACAGTAGAACGATGAACAAGGCATCTAACAAACAATGAACATAATCTTCTATTGAGATGACTGCTTGCAAAAGGCTCAGTAGGTAAAAAGGATGAATGTTTGTATAAAAGTTGCTACTTCTGTTACAGAAAGCATTCCATTCAATTTCCCAGTTTTCTTTTAATTGTTGTTTTCTCAGAGAGACTAAATCACTTCTATTGAGCCAACTAATTTCTAATCCTTTTGAGGCCGCTTCTTTGGCAAAATAATCTGCTTTGGTATTACCCGAGATACTTGCATGTCCCTTTACCCAAATGAAAGAGACTGAATTATTTATTTTAAGTAACTTTAGTTGATTTTCAAAAATTTTGACGATAATACTATTTTTGTATATATGCTTATGCGAATTATCTAAAGCAGATATAGCAGATTTTGGATCCGACAGGATTCATCATCTTTGGCTCTAGAACCCTGGGTGGGTCTTAACCTGTTCAAGAATTAGTCTCCATTCCCCCCTATCTTTCGCTGGCTTTCCAATTTCTAACCCTTAGATTCTTCAAGTCATCTTCGACTTGAGTTTTGACTCTAGATCTTGGTTTGCCTCTCTTCCTGGTTCCTACTGGCTCTTGATAGAATATCTGTCTTTGGGGGTCTCCAGTGTTAATTCTTTCAAGGTGTCCTAGCCACCTTAGTCTATTAATTTTAAAAGTATACATATAGCCCGGTTCAAGACCCCCCGGAAGACGACCTAAAAGATGGAGGGATAGTTGGCAATATACCTCCCAAGAAATTAACCAGAGGCAGCTTTAGAATTAAACAGATCTAAAGATCTACAAAAAGTAGTAAAAGAAGAAGAAGACATATAGAACGAATACTTAAGTATTCGTATTTCAAAGCGGCCCAACAGTTCTTCGTCGCTTATCATAGTCCATGTATCTGACGTGTATGTTAGGACAGGTTTAATAAGAGTTTCTCAGACAGAATTACTATTTGTTAATTAGCCATTTTCTTCTCAATAGTCCATTCCAGAGCTTGATATGTTGCAAACAGTTCTGCAGAATGAATGGAACATGTTGGTTTAAGTTAAACATAATGTGTTTTTGATTGTCTTGGATATACACCGGACAACCAACTCCTAAAATATATTTTGGCCCATCTAAGAAAATCCTATATGGCGTATCAAATTTGGCAAGTTGTTTCTGAAGTTGAATGGCGTTGTTATCATCAAAAGTAGGGAAACAGTCTATGGTTTTCGTCATTTAGCTGTTCGTAGTAAAGATCTTTAATTTCGTCGTCCTTGTCTGCTGACGGTGCATGAATATTATTTATAAACCAGTTCCTTTTATTGCTTTTGATTTGTATTAACATCCTATGTGTAGGTGAGTATGATAATACAAAAAAAATGACACAGGCTTCAAAGGTTTAAACGAAATTTTAAAATTATAGATAAAAAATCATAAAATATCACCCAATGAATAAATCGTGTGCGATTTTTTAACGTGTTCAAATTTTTAATCACCTCATTTGAAAGTGTTATATTAACTTTTTTATTTACTTTAGCAATCCCCGTACTATTTTATGTCTACGTTACAGAATCCAGCTCCGAACCCCTACCGTGAGCCCTGATGGCGCGGTGGTATTTTCATTTGTTTGCCAGGTCCTATTAAAGGGGGAATTTTCAGCAAGTCAAAGGTTTTAATTTATGAGCTCTTTTATGTAAGTTGTATTAAAGCACTAATGTATTGCCAATTGCAGATCTTTTTGAATGAGTTCAACTCTGTGCAGATTAAGCGATTGACATCCGGTGGGGGTTGAGTCGAGTATCCAGGTAAATCGATATTTCAAAGGTGGTAAAAACTAGCCAAAAATCATAAAATTAAAATATAGCTTTATTTCTTTTAGCAACATTACAATCATTTATAATTTATTTATTTATTAAATGACAATATAGTGTGTTCATAAAGTGTGGAAACAATCTATTATCTCATGACTTAATTATCTGCGACATGCCGATTTTTACTTCTGTTTTTTAACTTTTTTGAAAAAAATAACTGTGGCCCACAACCTTTCAACTCATATAGTCTTTATAGATCTGACAAAGGCATACGATAGTGTACCACTTTCAATGCTTTGGGTAGCAATGGAAAAATAAGGAGTAAGCAAAAAAATATACAAGCAGTACAACAGTTCTACAAAAATATGACGGCAAACATTAAAACTGGAAATAGATTAACTAGAGACATTCCTATTAGTAAGGGCCTAAAGCAAGGCTGCTACGTAGCACCTACACTCTTCAATATATATCTAAATGGGCACTCTCACTGTGGAGAAGAAAGTGCTGCAATATGGGCATCCCAATCGGAGATGATAAATTGTACACGGTACACTTCGCTGACGACCAAGCCATTCTAGCTGAAGACGAGAGTAATATAAGCTATATGCTTAGAAAAATGGAAGATGAGTACACCAAATGGGGCCTCACAATTAATATACAAAAAAACTGAGTACTTAGCTGTAGGAGAAAAACCAGAAAGCCTACAAATCGAAATGGGAACTATAAAACCAACACACAATTTTAAGTACTTGGGAGTCCAAATAACATCAAAAGCAGGAAGTAGCGAAGAAATACATTCCAGGATTGGCCAAGCAAGATCAGCCACCAGACAGCTACACGGACTATTATGGAGTGAAAAAATAACAAAAGAAAATAAAAGAAGAATCTATAAAATAATAATAGAAAGTATTGGAATGTACGGCGCCGAACTCTGGGAAATAAACCAAAGAAACAAATCAAAAATTAAGGCCATGGAAATGAACTACTGGAGACGATGTTGCTAGCTCACTAGACTTGATAGGGTGAGAAATGAAGATATTCGGAGAGAAATGGAAATCGATCTAGACATAATAGACACAATCGAAGCCAAAATACTTAACTGGTATGGACACCTTCAGAGAATGCCGGAAAATAGATGGCCAAAAAAAAAATAGAAGAATGGACTCCGCCAACTAGATGAAAACGAGGTAGACCAAGACGATCCTGGAGAGACGATGTCGACGATGCAATGACCGCCAGAGATCTAACAACTGAAGATTGCTTCGACAGAAAACGCTGGAAATTAGGATGCGAGAAGCGGCGCCAGCTGTAGAAGACTAGCTTGTTATGAAAAAAATAACTTTTACCCCCACTAAGCAGATGTGACGTCGTATAACCTAACCAAACTTGTCACATTCAAACCTCAGTATGCAGAGCATAAAGGAAACCAGTGCTCGTATTTTTTAAAATTTAATTGGAAATTTATTTTACAAAGAAAATTATAAAAGAAGCCATTTCATCTTAAAGACAAACAAATACCATAATTAAAACAAATGATGGAATGGAGTGGCCTATTGTAGTATAGCACAGAATGTAGATTGTTTATCTATTAAAGATAACTAATTCCATTCAAATGATATTAGTCTGTAGATCAACAATACAATAAAATAAAGTGGATATTTGGTGATTTCTTTCATCAAAAGTGCTTTGAAGAGCATTATAGTCTTGTAATTGTTGTTTCTGATTTTCAACTACTAGATTGGTGTCAGTTAATTGTTTTTGTAAGTTATAAAGTTCTCTTTCGTTGTTGGTAAGTGCTTTCTTGTATTCATCCATAGCTGCTTGCAGTCTAATAATTTTTGCTTCTTTCTGATCCAATTGCTTAAATTTATCATTCAAATGTTCAAAATTTTGAGTGAGATTTATAATCTCTTTATCTTTCTCTGTAATCTGATTCATGTGTGTTTGTAAATCACTAACAAGATTATGCAATCTTGGGATTTCCAGGTCCTTATCTTGAATAGTGTTGTAGCATATCTGTAATTGTGCACTTTCTTCCTTCAATCTCAAGGTTTCTGATTCCTTCTGTTGGGCAACTACTTGGTAAGTTTGTTTTCGAATTGTGAATTTATCTGGTGGCTGGTGTTACTTGAGAGATTAACCTGTCTACATAATTCGTCCAGTATCTCTTTTTCGACATAATGTAAAGAGAATGAGGTATTTTCTTCGAGAATTGCCATCACTTGTTTGAAGAATTTTTGTTGCTCGTCTAATTCCTGTAGAACTGCTTCTGACTTAGAGTTCAGTCTTATAAATTCGACTTCTTTATCAGCCAATAGTTGTTGTGTTTTCTCCAATTCTAAAACCTGCTGGGCCAATGCAGCTTTTTCCATCTGTTCGGGGGCCAAAAGTTTATTTAAAGATCAAGTAGGCTGTGTAAGCATGTCAAATTCCTTAGCCACCAGAAATTAAGTTAGTAGTTACTATTGGATATGTCAATATTAAATTAATTTATCGTGTCACATCGATTTAGAAGTTTGCACTAGTATCTTTTTAAAAAATATTACCCTAATAGAAATAATTTGAACTAGCGATGGTGCTGTCAGAAAAACAACGGTAAGCAAAATATTGCATAAATTTAATGATATTGGCAATATCATTGTTTGGCAATGTAAGTAATAAGCTCAAGAGTGGCAGACCCACTATTTCCTCATTAAAGACCCAATTGAAGAACATCCTCATTCTTCAATTACAACTTTATCAACTTACAATGAGATCTACCGTGGTGCTGTTCATAAAATTCTAAAAAAGGCCAAATTACATCCATATAAAATTAAACTTATACATAAACTCAATGAAAACGACAGAAGAAAGTTTTGCGAAAATATGCAAGAATTGTGTAATCGAAATAATGGATTTGAATATAATATCTTGTTTTTTTTTTGTTTGGAAGTTGATACCCAATATCCCGAAAAAGTAAATGTATGGGCTGGGATTGTCAGGAATACCATTGTAGACCGTATTTTTTGACTTTACTGTAACGGGTGAAAGGTATCTAGAGATGTTACAAACATACTTAGTTCCATTTTTAACTGCAACATTTCCAGATATCAATAATCCTGGTCAAATAGATCCGACAATTTGGATTAATCAGGATAGCGTAGTGGATAAAAATTTTCTAAATGTAACTTTTCCCAATCCTTGGGAAAAGTTGTATTTAGAATGCAACATTGAATGACCTGCACCTTAAATGGCCTGCTATGTCGCCAGATTTGATCCCATGGACCTTTCTATTTGGGGTTTTTTAAAATGTAAGGTATGTGTAAACGGACCTATCAATTTTGTAGACCTCAAACAGAGAATTGGTACTACAATGCAACAAATTACACCAGAGGTGTTTTCAAACATAACCCAAGAAATTATTGGATTCTTGGGTTATGTTTCATTGATTTTAATTTCTATTTGAAAAAAATAATCGATGACTTCACATCTGCTAAGGTAGTAAGGAAAAAAGTTATGTTTTTTTTTAAAGGTAAAAACAAAAATAAAAATCGGTCTGTCAGTGATTTAACTCTGAAAATAATTAATTTATGAGATAATAGATTGTATCCACACTTTATGAATGCACTGTATAAAGGTAAAACTTATTGAGTATCTCCCTGTATATAATAAAATTACCGGGTTTCACTAACAGATATTAAAAACCATAAAAACGACAAGTATTATATGATATTGATTAATAAAATTCCTTCATTAGCTGTAAAATAATCCACTAAACATCACATTATATTAAATTACGTCCATTAAACATATCCAAGGTTGATATTAGGTTTCGAAAACGGTATAAAAGTCGTCAAGTATGAAACCACTGGTTATTTAATATGTAGTATGGATAGTAGGATATTGGTGGGACACCACAAACTGTGACAAATCGTAGATCCAATGACACAGTCATCGGATAAGGAAATCATTTTTCTAACGATAAAATGGTCAATGACTATGAGAAATTATATTATTTCTTGATTATACGTCGGTGAAAATCTCTAACCATCCTGTTAGACATTTGGCTTCAGTATTATGTATATGTAGTTATCCATTTATTAGACCTTGGAACCTTGAAACGCACATCAGTAACTATTTCTAAGGAACTGAAAATATATTATTCTTCATCTTGGATGAAGTATAGAGAATGGAATACTCCCTGAAATCGAAAGACTAGGCACAAATGTAATAGTTTTATAAGTGAAACAAAAAAATGGCAAAGAAGAGGAATTATAGGGAAATACACACACACATATTGAGTGGGGTTTGGACACAAAAGCTGCAAAAAAGGAGTATAAATATTAGTAAAAATAAATGGAGAAAACACATGCAAGAATACCAGCAAATAATTGAACGAATAATGAATATTAAAAAGAACATATCGTATCAAGGACATAATAATTTTTGAACTGTATGCAATGAATGACAATTCGACCATAAGGAAAAATGAAGATATTTTCTCACTCACTAAAATATTCAATGCACTTCACAACACAACATTAGTGATGTTTGTATTTTGAGAACGATTTCTAAAGTGGAAATTAAAACGTCAATAAACGTATTTTAATCTTTAATTGTGGCTTATTCCAAGTTAAATAGTAATTACATAGTCCATGAAGGCCAGAAATACGGGTAGTTGGTACTCATTTGCCTTCTCTATCAGTGTTTTTATTGTCAGCAAATGGTCCCATGTACTGTATCCTTTGCGAACGACAGTCTGTTCAACCAGTTGGTAATTATCCATTTGGTAAGTCAACTGATTGTTAATAATTCTCATAAATAGTTTGTTTACTAGACTGAGCAACGATATAGGTCTATAATTCTTTTGTCCCATTTTTCTGTAAGGTTACTATTAGACTCTCGATCCAGTCATTAGAGATGTTGATACCATGGTATAATAAACTACAGAGGTAACATATTGAGCACGGTCGCTCGATCTTCGGCCAGGGAGTGACGTCAGTTGCAGCGTAGCAGGTAGCAGCAGTGTTCCCAAACCTACTGATTTCGCCGATTTTCTACCGATGTACCGCTACCGAATTTTATATTCAGATAGAAATTTTTACTTTTTCTTAAATTTGAGAAGAAATATGTAAGAGACAATACAATATGGAATATTTCAGCTTTAGCACGAAAGATAAAGTTTGTACTTTATTATTTGATTGACATGAGCCGTTGCACAGTTCTCGATTGACAGTTCTCGATGCAACAACAGGTTCTGATTTAAAACTTACCCACAAAGCGGATAAAGAAAAGCTTAATGTGAGAGGAGCTCAAAGACAGAGAGTAAAATATGCCGCTAAATTATTCTCCCATACGGTATCGAAGGCTATTAGTAGGTGCGGCATGCTTGGTCTCATTAATCAAGACACAAATTGGATACAATTGGCAGATCTTTTTAAACTAGTAAGAGTTACAATTTGTAAGGTAAACATTAATTACTAATTTGTTTTAACTTGTTATAGGTGAACGATTGGTTTGAAGTATTTAATGTTAGCGTTCCTGTGAGCGACACTCGAACCAGAAACCGGGCATATGGTTTGGAGTTACAAACCCAAAATGATATTTTAAATAGAATGTCTGACATGATTTCAACAATGCGCGTTAAAGGCAAGAAATCATTGCTTCCATTCCAAAAAGGTAACACAGTATATCAAAGTAAAAACACATTTATAACATTTTACAAAACATTGTAGGTATTCTTATATCAAATAAGGCTCTGCAGTTGCTGCTTGAAGATGTAGGCAAACGCTATAATATGAACTTCTTTTTAACGAGACACTAAACCAAGATCCCTTGGAAAATTTTTTTGGAGTCATAAGAGCAAAAGGTGGTTTGAACGATCATCCAACTTCTTTAGATTTTAAATACCGACTGCGTTCTTATTTAATGGGAAAAAATGAAGGTGTTTTTTCAGATTACTGTAATGTAGAAGACGATGGTACTCCTACATTAACTATGAGCGGTAGTATGGTAGAAAAGCTTGCTTTAAAAAAAACAATCATTGACACCAATCCCACGGATGGAGATGACATAGTCCTCTGTGAAGAACTCGATGATTTAAAATATGATGGACTAGAACATTTAGAAGGATTTATTTGGAGCAAGCTTAAAGGCAAATTACCAAATTTAACTAACCCAAGTTCGACGTCTTACACCTGGACCAATCATTTGACAGAAGGTGGACTATGCAAACCTTCTAATGAATTTATGGCTCATTTGGAAAAACTGGAGCAAATTTTTGAAAACTTTAATGGAGATACCATATTTACTGGCAAACAATATGTTTCAAGTCTGTTATCTGCAAGTGTTAATATTGATTGTCCTCTAGATGCTAAGAAAATATTTTTTCGATCGCGTATGTACGTCCGTATAAAAGATTTTAATAAAAAAATTATTTTAGCACGTACCAATAAAAGAAAAATAGAAAAAACTATTGCATAATGTATATAGTATTATATTTTTAAACTCAAATTGTTTTAAAACTGCCCTATATATAGTTATTTAGCAAGAATATTAACGCGATCGTAATATTTATTTTCAAAATTGGCATTTGACTTGTGTAAGTGACGGTTGTTTTAAGTATTTAAACTTAACTATATATTTACCAATTATGTATACCTAATATAAAAATTTTGTTCCTTCTTAAAAGTTTATAAAAAGTGGAAGTATGTAGGTACCTAAATAAGTAGCTATATTTTTATACTAATACCTTATTTGTTCTAATTCGCATAAAAATTAAATATATTTGACTAAGAAAACATTATAAACATTCGTTTTTATTTAAAATGTATGAAGACAGTAAAATAATATGCAAAATATCCATGTTTACGATGACTAAATTACGAGTGCTTATGTATACAATTAAGAGCAATGTGAATACTAAGCTGCGAGTGACGTCGCTGCGCAAGGTTAACGCGAATTTGCACTTCGGAATAGGTGGCCCTGTGTTGGTACTATGAGGACATCAATTAAATAAATCTGTTAGTATAGGAATCGTTACTGTCATTGCTTGACAATTATACCGTCGTGTACTAGAGCTTTATTATTTTTTAAGCTCTTTTAAAGCTCTTTCTATTTCGAATCCCTCTACATTTGGTAATACCTCTGATACCATGCTTTTTATTTTTCTTTTGACTTTCTCTTTTGTTAATTTATTAAGCTAGTTTGTACAAGGTTGTGCAGAAGTCGTTGAAAACGTACAAAGGAAATTATTATAATCGATAGAGACCTCAGAGAAGGTGACAAGGAGGATATAGTGCTATGAAGAAATAAAACGACAAACTTATAATGTGGAGAAATTAGACAAAGAAGAGAAACATTTTAGTAGTATCACTGAAAGTGAAAATAAGGT